GAACCCACTACGTTAGGTGTATGTGGCCGGCGCCTTAGCCACTTGAGCCACAGGTGCCGAGCCAGTCAACTACTATTCTATTAAAAGCATTTCAAAAAGTCATTTTGGACATTTTTAATATTTCAGTTCAGTTTTTGTCATCTGATCAATTAATACAGGTTATAATTTATGTGATCATGACAGAGATTTTTAAAAATTACTTTAAAGAGTTTAGAATGTATACCTCCTTTAGTTTTTTTACATGTGTTAAATATTCAGAGTATTAGCTTACATTAATGAAAATGAAGCCAAAATCACTTTTGTCCTTGCAAAATGGTATGTTTTTCCTGAATGCACACTGGCTCCTACTCCTGAAACACTATTAATCCTACCCAGATAGTAGCATTAGTGGGGTATCATTCTAGACTTCATTCAAAGATGGCACTAGTTACTTACTAATGTTCAAAAGGCCCCCAGAGTAAAGCAGTTTCAGCCAAAGCTATCATAATAAACAGTTTCACTCTCGAAAGCACCACATTTCCACGAGACAAAAACATTTCCCGTGGTCATTATATGGCAGCCTAAATTTTATGTCTAGATTCCGCAGTAATAGTTATTCATGTTATTTTTTGAATTAAGTCTGCCCTTGACATTATGCCATATCTCAGTTCATATATCTGCTTGTACTTCTTCAACAAGTAAAAAATACATGATTTCACACACGGTAACCCCATCTGAAGATTATTCAAAGATGTTAGTTTTGTAAGCATATTGTCTCATTGATCAAATTTATATCCATTTTCCAAATGTCTTAAAATTAAATGTTAAAGCATACACACAAAAAGAGTGGATAAAAATATATTCATTTTAAAAATCAGCGATAAACACTTACGTACTCAGCACAAGATTAGAAATAGGCCATTAACGTTTCCCAGAAGCCTTCTCTAATCGCATCCCCCTTCCTCACCACCAGGGGTAACTACTGTCTGTATTTTGTGCTAGTCGGCATCTTTCTTTTTTAATACTTTTTACTACTTATGTAAGACCCTAAACAATACACTGGTTTTGCATCATTGTAGACTTTATATGAATGGAATCGTGCTCTTATGTTTTCTTCTGTGACTTGCTTCTTTCACTCCAATCGTGTCTCTAAGATTCATCCGGGTTGATGTGGGCAGCTGCCGCTCAGCTCTGCTTTTATACATTATTCTTTAGAATGAACATGCCACAGCTTGTCTATTTTAGTGTTATCGGGTACTTGGGTCATTTCTAACTTTTGCTATTATGACTGGCTCTACTATAAACTTCTGATACACGTTTGTGAGAGTTTCTGGAAGGTGAAATTTCCCACATGTGAAATTACTGAGGTGGAGAGCGTGTACTTGTTCAGCTACACAAGGTATTTGCAAACTGATTCAAAAGTGTTCAAAACTGTTTCATATTTTAAAGTCTCATAACATTTTATATTGTTCAGCTGTTTCTTTAAAAAATATTTTTCCAATCTCATGAGTGAAATAATGGTATCTCCTAGGAGGTTTAGTTTACATTTCTCTGACTAATGAGGTTGAGTGTCTTTTCGTATATACATTCCCTGGACCTTTCCTCCTATATAAATTCAATTCTTTTCCCCTCATATTTCTACCTTTTTCTTAATGATTTATAGGAGTTGATATATTTGAGACATATATCGAGAGAATAATAGTCTATTTTCATGTGTTGCAAACATCTACTTCTAGTTTGTAGCTGGGCTTTTTTCTTTTTTTAATGGCATCTTTTGATAACTAGCCATTTTCGATTTTAATACTGATTTATCAGCCATTCCTTTTGTGATCTGTGTCTCTTGATTCTTGTTTCAGAAATCTATTCCTACTCCCATGGGCACAAAGACATTTAAATGTTCTTCTATAAGTTTCATTTTGCCTTTCATATTCAGGTCTTTAATCTTCCTGAACTGATCCTGAGTTATGAAGCGAAGATCCAATTTTACTTTTTCTGTGTGGATACACATCGATGCCAATACCATCTATTGAAAAGCCCGTTATCTCCCCACTGCTCTGCAGCGCCATTTCTGCTCTACGTCCGCTATTCACATATGCTGCTTGCTGGAGGCTTTTTGTCAGCATTTTTTTTTCCCCCTTCCTAGGTTGGTCTTTATTGAGGAGGTTAAAAGATTTTTTTCCTTTAATCTATACATAAAATGAAATATATTTGTTAATATTTAACATTACACTACCTCTGAATTTCTGTAGTAAATCTAAGATCATCAGAGAGTTTTACTGGTGAGTTTAAAAATACAATACCAATTTGTTTCTTTTATATAGTTTGAGATTCGTTGGCTAATCTCTACTCTTTTACATCTAGTTAATGAACAAGATTGGCCTATAATTTTCTTGTTCATGCTGTAGTGGTTCATTTGTTAACTTGGCTGGGCCATGGTGCCCAGATGTTTGGCAAAACATTATTATTGATGTTTATGTGAAGGGGTTTTTTGGATGAGATTAAGATTTAAATCTATGGACTCTGAGTAAAGCAGATTGCCTTCCGAGATATGAGTGAGCCTCATCCAATCAGTTCAAGGCCTTAACAGATAAAGACTGACCTCCCTTGAGTAAAAAAGGAATCTGCCAGCAGACAGCCCTTGGACTTGAACTGCAGCAGCAGCTCTTGTCTGGATCCGCCCAGCCTGCAGATTTTGGACTTGCCAGCTTTCTTGCCAGCTTTGGAATTGCTTGAGCCAATTCCTCAAAATAAATATCTCTTTTTTCTCTGTCTCTTTCTGTCTGTCTACATACACATACACTCTCCCATATACACACATATACATGGTGCCAAAAAAATGCGTACACATTTTAAGAAAAAACTATTAGAATTGTAATGCTTGGTATGTACCAATGACAAAAGATGAATACAAGTATGTTGAGTACTGCTTGTGATTGCAGAAATAAAATGACTTGAGTATTACAAATTTAATAACTTTTTTTATGTTTGTAAAAGGTATATACATTTTTGGCACCCTTTATATATGGACACACACATCATATTAGTTCTTTTTATTTGGAGAATGCTGACTTAAAACACTAAAACATACTGTCTCTTATGAACTGAATTGTCTTCCCCTAAAATTTATATGTTGAAGCCCTGACCTCCAAAGTAACTGTATTTGAAAACATAGTCTTTAGGGAAGGTAATTAAGGTGAAATAGTGGTCTTAAGGATGGGGCCCTAACGTGACAGGACGGATGTCCTCCTAAGAAGAGGAAGACAGTGGAGATTTTTCTCTCTCCATACATTCACTTACTTTCACAAAATTAAAAAAAAAAAAGGACAAAAACTAAAGAACCAAAGTAATTAATTGCATAGTATTGCCTCATGCAAGTCATTTCTCCTTTCTTTCCCTTATATATTACTGGTCTCCTCAAATGTCCTGCTTGTCTGTCTCTCCAAATTGATTTAATTCTCTGTGAAGTCAGGAACATGTCTGTCCATTACCCTACTCCTTTTGCTGAGCACAATGTGTTGCACATGGTAGGCACTAAATAGTTGACCCTAGATATTACCCATATGTCTTAAATTTACATTTACAGTATTGAATAGCTGTTTCTTTTCTTTCACATTAAAAATTTACTTTTAAATACTCCTAGCCCCAAATATAGGTGTTTCTGGCATGCTTATTGTACTGAGTGTGGGTCTACATGAGTATTTTAGAGAAGGCAAAGTAAATAATGATGACAGTAACAAAGACCAAATTAAGACTGTGGATTAAGACCTTTTCAAAAATGGCATTAATTTATTAACAAAAACTATATTTAAGAGGTAACTTTAAACATAAAACAGTATCTAGAAAGACATCTAGAACTAAAGGGCATTTTAATTATTTAATGGAACTCCTTCTGCACTACCTTTTTCTTTCCAAAGCTTGTTTCTGTTTTGTTTACCTGCAGAGCAAGTAGAGGGCTGCAACAATGAGTGTTACCAGAAGGACAATCAGTACCACAAAAGCTGCAAACGGGTTGCTTTTAGTTTGGATGCTGGAGCTCGGGAGAAAAACTTCTTCACAGCGGGCTCCTGTATAATTTTCAATGCACCTACAGAGTAAAATTTTAGATGAAGTTTTGCATTCTGTTTTACATTAACTAATTTAGAAACAAAAAGGTTTCCAGCTGTTAAGTAGAAAAAAGATTGGCTCGCCTGTAGCTCAGGCAGCTAAGGCGCCAGCCACATACACCAGAGCTGGTGGGTTTGAATCCAGCCCGGGCCTGCCAAACAACAATGACAACTACAACCAAACAATAGCTGGGTGTTGTGGTTGGCACTCTACCCAAGGCCACAGCTTGAGGCTCAGTCTCAAAAAAAAAAAAAAAGAAAAAAAGACTAAATTTTTAGATTGTGAGCACAGAATTAGACATGCTTTCCTATAATGTTAGTAGAGCTACAGTTATAGAAAAACAAATTCAGTCTAATTTTCTTTTTCCAGTTTTCTAATTGCTTAGAAACTCCAGAGAAATTATAGCATATTCAGGCTTACCTTCTAGATTTTCTTTTCTTTCTTGCTTTCTTCTTTTTTTTTTTTTAGAAACAGAGTCTTACTTTATTGTCCTCGGTAGAGTGCTGTGGCATCACAGCTCACAGTAACCTCCAACTCCTGGGCTTTAAGCAATTCTCTTGCCTCAGCCTCCCAAGTAGCTGGGACTACAGGCGCCTGCCACAATGCCTAGCTATTTTTTTGTTGCAGTTGGCCAGGGTTAGTTTCGAACCTACCACCCTTGGTATAGGGGGCCAGCACCCTACCCCCTGAGCCACAGGTGCTGCCCCACCTTCTAGATTTTCAGTGATATAATTATTCATACTTCACTCAAATTCATTTAAAATTTCCTTTTTGTTGTATCTTGTATCCATGAAAATCTAAGTGCATTTTTTTCTTAAAACTGCTAACTTGTTTTTCATTAAATAATAATCATTCCTTTAACCACTATGTAACAGTGACTCCTTTAAGATAACGTCAAATTTGGGCCACGCCTGGTGGCTTAAGCCTGTAATCCTAGCACTCTGGAAACTGAGGCAGGTAGATTGCCTGGGCTCATGAGTTTGAGACCAGCCTCAGCCAGAGCAAGACCTTGTCTCTAAAACAATAGCTGGGCGTTGTGGTGGGCGCGTGTAGTCCCAGCTACTTGGGAGCCTGAGGCAAGAGAATCACTTAAACCCAAGAGTTTGAGGTTGCTATGAGCTGTGATGCCACAGCACTCTACTGAGGGTGACAAAGTGGGATTCTATCTCACAAAAAAAAAAAAAAAAAGAAAGAAAAGAAAAAGGTAGTGTCACATTTAGTAAACAATGGCATTTCTTTCTATTCCTCAATGATCTATACATCTAATCTAGGGCCTCTAACACATTGTTTCAATGCTGTTACTTTATGGGTTTTTTTTTTT